TGTGTGTGTGTGTGTGTGTGTGTGTGTGTGTGTGTGTGTGTGTGTGTGTGTGTGTGTGTGTACTCGTAGTGGAACACCAAACCGATGTGCCAGGATCTGGACAATAAAGATGTATCTTATTAAAATAAGGCTTAGAAGCGCACAGTGGCGTTCAAAAGAAACTTGTAAATGTAATCGCCCAATCATCGTGATAGAGCCTTGCACTACCCACTCATACAGTATACCAAACTAGATAAATTCTACATCATAATGCACATTAATATTTCATGTATGTTAAAAGACGCCCGAGATATGGTCACTTACAATTGGTCATTAAAAATCAAGATTGGCACAATCGTGCGAAATTAAAGAAATGTAAAATTGTCTTAGCGTGTATTGAGGAGCATCAATATTGATAGAATGGACATCCATTTACATATCCAATGAATGGAAAATTTTGTCATTGCATTACAGAATATATGTATTTCATTTTGAGAGTTCAATCAAAACGGAAGTCAGAGCAGTCACAAATATCAGGCAAAACTTGGACTTAACATTAAATGTTCTTATTGTTATTTTGGTTATGAGCCATTGGTTTTGTGTTGGGCACGAACTCTTGGAGCATCAGTTCTAATAAATTTTGGAGATAATTATCGATTATTTCATCGCCCAAAATGGCACAGAAAATTGCAAACAAAGGGTCTGAATTGGAAGTAAAGTCGCCTTTCTTCAGCTGCTATTTCATGGGACTTCACATACCTTTAGGATTCACATCGGTTCTTGGCCATGTATGCAAATGTCTACCTGAATAACACCATGACAGGAATTAGAGTAAGACATGGCGTTCCAGCACTTGCACGATGTAGTCAAATAAACCAAGCCACTCAGTGATTCTCACGAGGGTGGATTTGGTCATTCTACCTAAGACAACCCAAAACCATAGTACATTGTAGTTTTGTGACCTCTGCCAGATGATTAGTTCAAACTTCCTGAGACTGCTGAAATTCTTTAAGTGGTCACAGAATCCGTAGAAGAAATCAAACTCCGAACTATAAGCCATTATTGTGAAGGAACTTTCATTCAATCAGACAACGCATTTCGAACTCATCAGTTAAATTGGCAATAACCAAAGACATGCACAAGCACATTAGAAGTGATGATAATTCCTTTCCTATAACCCAGCAGATATCTGTCTCTTCTAATGTACTAAAAAATATCATTCAAATCTGTTAAGAAGGGTCGAACGAAGAGTAAAAGTATCACGAGGTGTTGCAATGATTGTGTGGGTATCGAAAACATCCGCCCCAGACCGTGATGAAATGAGTACCGAACCAGTTCAACAACATTTGCCTTTTTCATAAAGAGCACAAGGTGGTCTTTTCTGTCAATGTTGTTAGTTTAACAGAATCAGTAGTTGCCAACATCTAGAATATATAATTGTTTTATATTGTGTCCCTGAATTAGGGTAACTACTAACGCAAAATGAAATGCGTCACAATGATGTAATATGAATGGATGGATGTGTTGTTGTTGGTGGCGGTAGTAGTGATCGTAGTGTATGTGTATGCTTGTGCGCGCGCGCGTGTGTAACTCTAAATTCTTCATAAAAGTAATAAACACTATAATATGTGTCTTGATTAGCCACCTTTCCTGGCTCAGTTTATGTTAAACCTTGATGTGCGCATTTCCTGAGTATTTTATATAATTATATACCTCCATTAAACACCATATTCATCCCAACACTCACCTACCAATGCCAAACATGGACCACGAACAAGACATTAGAGCAAAGAATTACAACATGTGAAATGTGATGCCTTAGAAAAGCAGTAAACAAGACCAGGCGAGACAAAATTAGAAACACTGTAATCAGAGAAATGGTGGGCACAAATGATATCAAGCATCAAATCTAACACCAAAGAATCAAATGGTTCCGACTTCTCGTGCGATTACCAACACACCACCTAGCACAACGTGCCTACAAAAATAATTCGATGGCAACAAGGCTAGAGGGCGGCCCAGAAAGACCTGGATAGATGGAGTCAGGGAAACATTAACCACCCATAGCATCCCCCTGACCCAAACTCTCCGGCGGTCGACAGAGAGACGGCTCTTTCTCCCCGCGACACCAAAAGGATATAAGCGGCGGATAAAAGTAAAGTATATACCTCCATTACCATACCACATTATTTTCTTTCATTTACCTCATCTTCTTTCCCGTGACCGATTTTCTCTCCGTTATCTATCTTTTCATGGGTGATCAAAAGAAATCTGTTAACTCAATGTCGTAATTTGTGAAACCCAACACAAACCCATGCTGATCACCGTCTGCACAGGTGGTTTTGATAGACGTATCTAGTTATGCGTGTATAATTAAATTGTTACAATTTTCACTTCTCCGTTCTAGTGGGTTGGAATATTAAAAGTTTAGTATGTTCTAAATAGTACACAGCCCCGCTTACTGACATGATCAAACATTTAAAACACAAAAATTGCATTCTTTTGTCTAGAGATCCCAACC